GTGGTCAGGTTGATCGTGCTCCGGCGTGGTCAATAACCTCTCGGAGTTGGTTTAGCGATTGCTAAGGCGCGACGTCCTCGCACGTTCGTAGTCGGATCGTCAAAGTCGACTGCCACCAAAGCGATATCCATCATCTCATCGAAAGACGGGACACCTTTGCCTCTATCACATGCTATGTACCAGATCTATTGTATACCCTACACTGATTTTGGCAAGGGAGTACAATAGTGATCTAGGAGTAGATCACTGGACAGCGGTCAAAATTATCCTTAGTGGAATAAGGATATGTTTTTCAATTATCGAGGTGACAAAAGGTTCATCGTAAAAGGGTTACGTCGATACAAGTTTTGGCACTGATCCGGATGACTATAACTCTTCATCTGGATACATATTGAAAGTGGGAGCAATTAGCTAAACTAGCTCCGTGTAGAGCATTGTAGACATAGAAATTCGCAAAATACTTACGGATCTGTATGTGACAGACCCGTTGACTAAGATTATCTCACAAGCAAAACATGATCACACCTTAGTACTCATTGGGTGTTAATCACATAAGCGATGTGAACTAGATTACTGACTCTAGTAAACCCTTTGGGTGTTGGTCACATATCGATGTGAACTATGGGTGTTAACCACATAAAGATGTAAACTATTGATGTTAGATCACATGGCGATGTGAACTAGGTTATTGACTCTAGTGCAAGTGGGAGTCTGAAGGAAATATGCCCTAGAGGCAATAATAAAGTTATTATTTATTTCCTTATTTCATGATAAATGTTTATTATTCATGCTAGAATTGTATTATCCGGAAACATAATACTTGTGTGAATACATAGACAAACTAAACGTCACTAGTACGCCTCTACTTGACTAGCTCATTAATCAAAGATGGTTATGTTTCCTAACCATAGACATGTGTTGTCATTTGATTAACGGGATCACATTATTAGGAGAATGATGTGATTGACATGACCCATTCCATTAGCTTAGCACCCGATAGTTTAGTATGTTGCTATTGCTTTCTTCATGACTTATACATGTTCCTATGACTATGAGATTATGCAACTCCCGTTTGCCGGAGGAACACTTTGTGTGCTACCAAACGTCACAACGTAACTGGGTGATTATAAAGGAGCTCTACAGGTGTCTCCAAAGGTACATGTTGGGTTGGCGTATTTCGAGATTAGGATTTGTCACTCCGATTGTCGGAGAGGTATCTCTGGGCCCTCTCGATAATGCACATCACATAAGCCTTGCAAGCATTGCAACTAATGAGTTAGTTGCGAGATGATGTATTACGAAACGAGTAAAAAGACTTGCTGGTAACGAGATTGAACTAGGTATTGAGATACCGATGATCGAATCTCGGGCAAGTAACATACCGATGACAAAGGGAACAACGTATGTTGTTATGCGGTCTGACCGATAAAGATCTTCGTAGAATATGTGGGAGCCAATATGAGCATCCAGGTTCCGCTATTGGTTAGCCCAGTCCGAATTGGACAAGGGTTTGGGGCGCGGCCCCTCTCTCCCTTCCTTCCCCTCTTCCCCCCTTTCCCCCCCTTCTCCTAGTTGGACTAGGAAAGGAGGAAACCTACTTCAACTAGGAGTAGGAATCCTACTCCCTGGCGCGCCCCTCCTAGGGCCGGCCTCCTCCCCCTTGCTCCTTTATATACGGGGGCAGGGGGGCACCTCTAGACACACAAGTTGATCCACGTGATCATATTCTTAGTCGTGTGCGGTGCCCCCTTCCACCATAATCCTCGATAATATTGTAGCGGTGCTTAGGCGAAGCCCTGCGACGGTAGAACATCAAGATCGTCACCACGCCGTCGTGCTGACGGAACTCTTCCCCGACACTTTGCTGGATCGGAGTTCGGGGATCGTCATCGAGCTGAACGTGTGCTAGAACTCGGAGGTGCCGTAGTTTCGGTGCTTGATCAGTCGGGTCGTGAAGACGTACGACTACATCAACCGCGTTGTGCTAACGCTTCCGCTGTCGGTCTACAAGGGTACGTAGATCACACTCTCCCCTCTTGTTGCTATGCATCACCATGATCTTTGCGTGTGCGTAGGAATTTTTTTGAAATTACTATGTTCCCCAACGGGTGTGTGGGGTTTTATCGCGAGAGACGAAACTGGCGCTTTCTTGGCGGCTGCTGCTGGCAAGATGAACCATGTAAGATCTGCTCTGCATGCGGAGGTGATCGCTTATGTGAGCTATTGAAGGGGCAGCTGACCTGGGTGCACAACGTATCAGTTTTGAATCAGACTGTTTGACAATGATTTCTGCACTTAAAGGGCGAGACTATGACGCTGCGGAGCTGGGAGTTCTCTTCAGAGAAGCAAGAAGCATGTGCCATGCCTCTTTTGTTTTCTCTGAGTTCATGTTTTGTCCCCGGAACTGTAACCATGTGGCGCATGCTTTGGCCCAGCTTGCTATGGGTGCTGCTGAACCACTTCATGTGTGGGCGAATGTTGCCCTAGGCTTTGTTTCTGTCTTGGTGAACGCTGATATGGCTTCCCAAGTTTAAGTGGAATATAATTTGTTCCTTCTAAAAAAAGCCAAACGTGCTTGTCGACCCCTACATTATGTTTAGGAGGTTTCTTGTCCCGTGAGAGTATAACCATCCCGAGACGCTCAATAGTCAATACAATACTGCTTATCCTCTGATTCCCATCCTTCCGCGGAGAGCTTATCGGAGCAAGTACAATAAAGTGACATAAGCAGGCTACAAGGAATCAATTAAGGCATGTACAATGCTTGATAAGACAGTCTTATCTTAAGTCTTGCATGTAATTTAGAGATGACAAAAGAGTATGTCTATAATGGGTTATATCTTAGCCTTATCTTCAATAACTAGCAATTCCTTAAAACATGGCGAGACAAATTGTGCTAAGAGATCATCTCTTGTTTTATCTTAAATAAGAGAAGACAAGTCTTTTCTTATGAGTTTTCTCTTCTCCACCTCATCATTTATCCTACATGACACTCCTAAGATAGCACCATTGTACATGCCCTTATTATATCTTTGCTTAGTTGGAGTAGAGAAAAGATGAGAGATAAGGAAAGTGTGTTGTATGATAAGAGCCGGCTATAGCACGACCCTAGACACTTTGTGAGATTGTAAGGTGAGCTAGCTACTAATAAAGTAATGCATATTAAAACTTACTATTATACATTTCGGTTATAATGTTGAATCTAAATGACATGACAACTCCTTATAGCCGATTATTGGCTATATTACAACGCGGATTTTGTGAATATGTTTCCACGCGCACCCCTACGAATAGTAAATTCAGAAAATTTCTAGAAAAAATCTAAAAGTTTTTTATAATATACATAGTCAACCAGTATACTCGGGTATGAAGTTTTACGAAGAAATCACATTCGCGGTGATTGGGAAAAAATGACAAAATCAAAGCTACATTAAAAAACTGTTTGGTGAATAGTATGATCCCAATTGTTTTTACTTCACTGAGAATACCATGGGTGTCAGTACATTACGAAACTTCACACATAAGTAGAACAATTTTGCTAAGTCTCTACTTTGATTTTACAGGAAGATTCGTAAAGAAGGTTATTTTCAGTTTTTCCTTTTTCTTTTTACATACTATATCACTTGACTGAGACTTGGTTAAGTCTCAGTCGACTGAGACCTAGTCACGCCCTAAGTAGAATGGTCGATTAAGTTTCATGCCCTGAAATTTCAGATTTTTTTTTGTAATCTTTTCCAAAAGAAAAATCTGAATTTACTCTTCACATGGGTTAGTTGTATTACCGCAAATCAAGTTCAGCTTATCGTACGTGTCCATTTATTAGCCGATGCTGTGGTCCAAAATCTAAACGTCAAACGGCAAGAAGCGAAGGGTGTATCCGGCACGGGCACGTAGGAACCCCGCGCCATGGAGTAAACAACGTGGATGCGGATGTCCATCGCCAGGAAAACCCAAAAGAAACTTTGATGTGAGCGTCCGGTGGAATACAGAATGTAGTGTGCACCAAAAAAGATGTAGGCGTGGCCAATGGTCGAAGCTAGCCGTTGCGTCGTCGCTCCACTTTTCTCGGCGTGGAACGGGACCCGAAATCCACACGAGCTGGCTATAGCTGCTACCGGTTACGAAATGTGCTTGTCGTGAGCACGGGCACCGTCGTCCTCCGGACGGCGCCCCCATATTTTTCTTGAGAAAGTGACGGCCCCTCTATATCTAAACAGTGTGCCTACCTCGCCGGTGCCAGGCTACAGGTAGTACGTACTTGCGTCGAATTCTTTGTGGAGTGGTCATCTCCACTGTGCACCGACGCTGATGGACGTATACCGGCACAAAAAAGAAACGCACGTACCGACCATAACTACACACGATCGTATGACCACCGTACAGTGCGCATGCCACCGTCGCCGCGGCCGCTTGACCGAGCTACAGTGCGCGCAACCACCGGCCATGGTGGTTGCAACGAGCGTCGTGCGCGGCGGTGCGAGCGTCTCCCCGAGGAGGAGGAGGAGGGAAAACACGTACGTACGCGTGGCGTCAAAACGGAGGCGAATAGTTTAAGGCCGGGCTCCGGAGGAGTCGCTGCGGCGAGGTACGGTTGCTCGACGTCGCGCGCATCTCCACGCCGGCCCCTTGGCCCGTCCCGCTTGGCCACATCCCCCCCTTGGCTCGCCGCGCCAGATGCCCTAGCTTCTCGGCTCGCGGCAGGGTCGGTCGCCACCTCGGCCCTTGCCGGAGCCCGGAGACCGCACCTTCGGATGGATTCCTTTGCTTTACGGTGACCGGCCGATCGATCTAGGGCACCCGGCATCCACCATGGCCACTGCCATTATTGGTTCCTAGAAGGCTTTAATCGCCTTTTTATGTTGCGCCCCCACAGACACGAGCGGGAGCAGAGTCAAAACCCCGCCCCGCGCGCACCCCCTATATATACGCCCCTCCGCCCTCTCACCTCTCGCCACCTCCCTTCCCTCTACCCCTTGAACCAGCACCGCCGGCCCGTGCGTATGGGAGGACCTCCCGCGGCGCCGCGGCAGGAGGAGGAGGGCGCTGTGGTGGTGACGGAGCTGGAGGTGCGCGTGCAGCTGCTGGCCTCCGGCGGCGGCGGCGGCGGCGCGTACAACATCAACGACAACGCCGACATCCTGTCCGAGATCCTGGCGCGCCTCGACGGCCGCTCGCTCGCGTCCGCGGCCTCCGTCTGCCGCCTCTGGGCCGCCGTGTCGCGCCGGGACGCCGTCTGGGAGGCGCTCTGCCTCCGCCACGTGGGCCCGGCGTCCGGCCCCACCGCGGGCCACGCCACCCGCACCGTCGTGGCCGCGCTCGGCGGGTACCGCCGGCTCTACCGCCTCTGCCTTGGCCCGGCGCTCGACAGGCTCGGCCGCGCGGGCGCCCTCGCCCACGCGCAGGCCCGGGCGCGCCTGTCGCTCTCCCTCTCGCTGTCGCTCTTCTCCATCGACTGCTACGAGCGGCTAGGAGGCGGGAGCGGCGCCACTGCCGGCGCCGGCAGGCAGCAGCCTCCCTCGTCGCTGCTCTTCCTGTGCAAGCCCGTGGACGTGTCCTGATCAATGGCCGTATGATCCATCCTCAATGGCGTCGCGCTCCGGGCCGACGCACGCCGGCCGTACCCTCCCGACGCGCGGCGCGGTTGACAATGACATAGTGGTCTTTGTCCAATTTGCTCATTTTCATTTATTACTTATATTAGCACGGACCAATAAGGGTTAATTAATTGATTACGCATTTGTAGCTGTACCGCAGGGCCATTGAATATGGAAATAAACGAATGATTCTTTCTTTCTTTCTCAATGGATTGAGAGTGAGAGTGAGGGACCTTTCTCCGGTTTCCGATGGTTCCTCGGTGTACGCTTGGGCCTTGTTTGCGTCCGCTTGGCGACTTGCTGTTTCTCACCACTCGCCTTGTACCGCTCCCCGTGTTGTTGCTTCGTCTGGATGCTTGCGTGCAGCTCGCGCATGTGACCCAACCCATCCATCTGCTCCTCCTACTTAAGCTTAACTTACGTGGTAATCACCTCACCTCACCTCTCGCGACCGGGTGACGAACGGATGAATGAATCGGCGAGTGCTAATCACCTTTTGGTTTGTTCGCTTCTACTCTACCGGATACGGGCATACGGCTAGCCCCAAAGCAGTCTTGCTGCTACTCCGGGGACCGCCGGTAATGGACCACTGGCTGCTTTGATTGCTGGATGTTTCTTTGGATAGCTCCTACTGCTGGATATTAGGCCGAATGAAACAACGGCAAAGTATAAGACACACACGGATGCGAGATCCTTTCTACTATGACTACCTCGAATGCTAGGGCCTCCTTTAGTTCACGTGATTCTTAAAAAAAACATGAAATGGATAGGACTTGTCGCACGAAAGTATCGTACATGCCAACTATGCAGTTTAGATGAGGCGGCATACAATTAAATGAAGAAAAAGAGGATTGAGTATCATCATATGATACTAGGGCTCTGCAATCTTCTGCTGCCTCGACGTTTCCCCAGACTTTCCCGAGCCAATGTGTCGGGCGATTAGGATTTTAGAGTGGATTGGCCGTTTTGAGAATGTCAACGTCCGCCCAAGGGGGCAAGGAGAAGGAGTCCCTTGTTGCCGAGGGTGGCGAGAGCAAGATTAGCGGAGGAGCTTGAAAAGTTGTGGATCTCGGAGGAGGAGGCCACGCCACTGGTTCTTGATGATGAAGAAGATGGGGAGAAGGAGAAGTTGATGCTAGCGGGGAAGGTACTCCATCGCAATGTGTTTCATATCCAGCGCACATAGTCCAGCATGGGGAAACCCTAAAGGGTTGGTTTGTTTTATCGGAAGGAGAGAATATGTCTGTGGATCGTGATCGTGTGGGGGAAGGTTCGCCATGGCATGTGAGTCGCAACGCAGTTATTCTCTCATCGTTTGATGAATGCATGTGACCTTCATAGTTGAGGTTTGATAAGCTACAGATGTGGGCTAGGGTTGTGAATCTCCCTTTTCAACTGTGCGAGATAAGTGGAGCAAATCTATTGCGGATCAGATGGATAAAAAGTTCTCATCGATTCAGTTTGATCATGCACCAGGCTACCTAAGGGAGTGAGACATAGTAGATGTTGAGAAGCACCTTTGAGGAGATGGATTCTTGATTGAATCAAAACGGAGAAAGTGTATGGATCCATATGATATCCAGTATGAGAACAATCCACATTTCTTTTCTTTTCATGTGGACGTCTTGGCCATTTAGATATCCATTGTCCAACCCTAGGTACAAGAGACAAGAATGGAGATATGCCCTTTGGAAAGGGTTTAGGCCACCAGATGTGAGTAAGAGGTCGGCTTCGAGCGAGAATTTGTCAAAAGATCAACATAATGCTCAGAACAACAAGTCAGATACTCGAAATTCAAGCAGGGCGGCTAGTGGTGGAGCGGAGATTACGTCCTCGGTCAAGAACAAAACTTTTCTGAACAATCGAAAGGGCGGTCCCGAGGCTCAGCATGTGTACAGAAGAGTTGAAACACCCTTGCTCATGAACACACCTCACTCAAACCAAGACAATAACAAGCATTTAGGGCAAAGTGGAGGGCCGTCTGTGTTAGGAGAATCAGGTGATGATGGGGAATGGGGGCAAAGAAGAAGATAACAACACCAATGAGCTCGGAAAATTTTCCAGCGGCCTCGATGCAGCCCTGCCTATGACAATGAGTTGCTTGAGTTGGAACTGCCGAGGGCTTGGCAACCTGGTGGTAGTTCGAGAGCTTTCCCACATTGTGAAGTAGGAAGAGCCAGTTCTCCTATTTGTCATCGAGACAAAAAAAACTTGGCAAAAAGAGTTGAGAGCTTGAAGTTTTTGCTCGGCTCTGCAGGTTGCTTCACAGTGAACAATGATGGTCTTAGTGGGGGAATTGGTTTATTCTGGTAACGCAACTAGTTTTTTATCTCAGGAATTATAGTTTAGCCCATATTGATGTTTCGTTTAAGAGAAAGGATCAAAACTCTTAAGAGTGGAGATTCACAGACTTTTATGGACCTCTGCGGGTGGAAGATAAACACCATAGTTGGAGATTTGTTCTTACGCTTTTTGCCATTAAGTATTCAGTGTGGCTTTGTGTTGGTGATTTTAATGAGACACTGGCTCTGAACATTTCTCTCGTGCGGCAAGACCTAAATGACTGATGAGAGTGTTCAGGGAGGCGACTGATGATTCCTCGCTTCAGGACCTAGGCATCAAGGACGTGGAGAGCATCAAGAGATGTGCATCAAGGACGTGGAAAGCAATTGTTGCTGGAAGAGAAGCTTTGGAAACCGGGATGATAGATCGAATTGGAGATGACACTTCAGTCTCATTCTGGGACGATAGGTGGATCTCGAGCTACTTGTCCTTGAAGCCTACGCTTCATATTGGCAATGCCATGTTGAATTTCGTATCGACCTTATTGATACTGATAATTTGTCGTGGAATATAGATGTGGTCACAAAGAACTTCATTGCCCCGGAAGCAATGCAATGCTAAACATACCGTTGAGGCGGGCGGAAGGGAAGAACTTTGGGCTTGGGCTTCAGAAATATTGGGGTGTCTATTATGTGAAATCGACGTATCTTTCTCTAGTGATTCGCAATGAGCATGTTGATCTTGAAGAAGTGACGACAAAAACTGCAGAGAGAGATAAACAATTATGGATAACCATTTGAAATTTTAATGTTGTGCCAGAGGTGAGAGTGTTCTGGTGGCGAGTGCTTTGGGCTAAATTCTACTTGTTGAATGCACTCTCAAACACACACATATTGCAACTTTGGCCTGGTGCAAAGTCTGCCTTGATGCAGACCGGGACATTATGCATGCACTATTGAAGTGTACCAAAAAAATCCTGAAGTGTGGCACATGAGTTATTGCATGTCAAGCTCTCAGAGCTACATCGGAGTACGTGGTTGAGGGATATCGTCTGCTAAAAGGATCGATATGGTTGACTAGAGGGGGGGTGAATAGGCAACTAACAATTTTTAGCTTTTCTTTAACAATTTAAACTTTGCATCAAAGTAGGTTGTCTAGATATGCAACTAGGTGAGCAACCTATATGATGCAACAAAGATAGGAACACAAGCAAGCAAGAGATATATCACAAATAAGCTTGCACAAGTAAAGGCACAAGATAACCAAGAGTGGAGCCGGTGGAGACGAGGATGTGTTACCGAAGTTCCTTCCCTTTGAGGGGAAGTACGTCTCCGTTGGAGCGGTGTGGAGGCACAATGCTCCCCAAGAAGCCACTAGGGCCACCATATTCTCCTCACGCCCTCACACAATGCGAGATGCCGTGATTCCACTATTGGTGCCCTTGGAGGCGGCGACCGAACCTTTACAAACAAGGTTGGGGCAATCTCCACAACTCAATTGGAGGCTCCCAACGACACCACGAAGCTTCACCACAATGGACTATGGCTCAGCGGTGACCTCAACCGTCTAGGGTGCTGAAACACCCAAGAGTAACAAGATCCGCAAGGGATTAGTGGGGGGAATCAAATTTCTCTTGGTGGAAGTGTAGATCGGGGCCTTCTCAACCACACCCGAGCAAATCAACAAGTTTCATTGGCTAGGGAGTGAGATCGGATGAAAATGGAGCTTGGAGCAACAATGGAGCTTAGGGTTGGAAGAGGTAGTCAACTAGAGGAAGAAGACACCCCTTTTATCGCTTAGGGCAAATATCCAACCGTTATCCACCTACCAGCCCGCGACCAGCGGTACTACTGCCCCAGACCAGCGGTACTACTGTAGGGCCACGTGGTACTTCCGCTTGCTGACAAGCGGTACTACCGCAAGGCCACGTGGTACTACCATGAGGACCCGCGGTACTACCGCAGCAGCAGCAGCAGCTAGGGTAGACCTGTAGCACAAGGGCTGAGGGCGGTAGTGCCGCCCGCAAGGCAGGAAACCCCTAGCCTGGGAAGAGCGCGGATAAAGATACATCCGTGCCTACTTCCGCTGGTAAACGGAAGAAGCAAAAATCCGACACAGTACTACCACAGAGGAGCGGTACTACCACCAGACAGCTGAGCCAGGCCACGCACGGTACTACCGCGCAAGGGATGCGGTACTACCGCAGTGGCGCGGATGTAAAAAATTACATCCGCCCCTACTACCGCGAAGGAGCGGTACTTGGCCTGGGGGCCACGGTACTGCGGCTCCAGAGGAGCGGTACTACCGTGGGCACCTGCGGTACTACCGCGCCAAAGTGCGGTACTACCGCGGGTGCCTGCGGTACTACCGCTCAACAACGAGCAGTACTACCGCAAGCCCACCAATAGCAGCCAGGACAAGGAAAAGGAGGATCAACGGAGGATGCTCCAAAGTGCAGGGGAAAGGAGGCGACGAGGAAGAAAACGTGTACGGGATGATTCCACCCAAACCTTTCCGACGCGGACCCCCTCTTGATAGTACGGCTTTCCTACGACTCAAATCCACAAAAAAGAAACGTAGAAAAGACGCCGTCTTCAATAGTCTTCGAGGGACACCAAAACGTCTTGTGCCTAGCGATGAAACGTCTGGGAAACTCAAGGCACACGATTAGTCCGCAAAAG